CGGTTCGCTCGTCTGTACAAGAGTGCCGCAAGACTAGAGCAACCGGCGGTAATTCTCCGGTAGCAAAGATTCTGGAGTATTCCCGAATCCTTGTACCATTTGGCAACCACGTGTTTTTCACATGGTCGGTACATGTGATTTTCGTGTCGATCGCCGTCGCTCGGAAAGTAGCGCCGTTGTTACCTCAACGCAGAGCGCTATCAAAAAGCCCCTAAATGCGCCGCCGCTTTGCTGATTTCTTACATAGTGTACAAATTTTTTGAATAAATGTGACAAACACAGATAAATTATACACGTATTTAAATTAAATGTAATTAGATATTTTTAATTTTCATAAATTTTCGTGAAAAAGTGATATTTAGATCAGTTTGATTTTCTTATCAGCAGCGCGATTGTCTATCATATCATTTGTCAATATTCCACGTCTTTGCTCTCGCCACCGCTAGCCAGTGATGTCACACTCCGGTTCACTGATTCACATGACAGTTACGTACCTTTTCCATGGTCTTTTTTTCCGAGACAGTCTTTTCGCAAATAAGAACTTTTGGTTCACATATAACTTTTGATTGCCCATTATTTGATTGCCCACACAGGTTTTGTATTAAAACTAGCACAACACAGGCGCGCGCTACGCGCGCGCTATTGATTTTATACATTAATATAAATAATACAGATATATATGTAAGTAATATATATATAATTAATTATATATATTATATTATATATACCATTTGTTTAAACTAAGTGAAGTGTAAAAGTAGATTACGTACATCTGAACGGAAAAAAATGTACCATTTGGCAAATTTTGTAATACTTAGTTGAGCAATGAGCAAGTAATAAATGTAAACCAATAAACGCATGAGAAACAATGATTCGGATATTGTAAGCGTATACATTTTTTTATAAATCTTACTTTATTCTTACTTAAATATTAAATTAAATACCACAAAAAATAATAAACTTTTTGTTAACTTATGAATACCAATAACAACATACAATAGTGANTTTGTTTACAGTAAGTACTGAAGTTTTTTTTACAAATAAAGGAAAAAATATCACTTATCATCATTACTAATTATCTCATTATCTTCCAGAATATGCCTAAATAAAATAGTCTTTCCATAAATATATAGTAAAATACTTTTTAAAAAGAAAATGACATATACTTTAATGTTTTTATAAAGTAAAACTATACCCACATAGTTTTATATATATTAGATGAAGAAAATGAAGTATTTTCTCGTTTTCTTTTATTTACTATTTTATGCTCTCGTAACAATAAATTCATTGGCATATATCCCTGTATTTTTTAAGATCTTTAAGATCTTTTACCACAAAGTATGGTGGATGTGCTGAAAACAAATATATATATATGTATTGTTGTGCGCCAACTTTTGTATTAAAAGTTAAGGTAAGATGGGGCCATTGAGCAATGTGATGAGACATTACTGTCATTGCTCAATGACCTAGATAAGTTGCAGGAAGGCAGCAGTTCTAAAAAGAACTGCTGGTTGCCATAAGGTGCAACACATCGCCGCATTGTCCGAAGTGCAACGCAGCATGTGTCGACACCGGCACCGGTAATTAGCACAGCCGTTGCTAGGACCGATGGGCCTGCTGAATCAGCGCGATCGATCTACTACAAATCAATCGCGTGGATGAAGCAGAGGGAAACCGTGATTAGACTGCTAGCTCACTGTGTGGCTCCGCAAGCCGGAGAGTTTACCACAGTGAGGAACAGCCGTGGAAAAAACAAAAAAAACGTTGTAATCGGAGCAATAAAGATAAGAATACAAGTTTGTGCTTAGAACTTCATCTTTACCACCCGACCTTCCTCGACATCCAACAAATTTTGGTGGCAGCAATGGGATCTCTCAATCCGTGTGTCAAGGACGGAACTCTGCAGGAGATTCCGGTTGGATCAAAAAAAAGCAAGGACACTGGGTGAGAAAGAAGAAAAAAACGAGAACGATTGAGTTTTAGTTTTTAAAAGGGGGTGTATTTAAAAGAAAAAAAAAGGATAAAAAACATATAAATGAATACAAAAATATATGTAGAAGAACCCCCGTTCTGGTGAAATACTGCTCCTGAAACAAAAAAAAGCAGTCATTAAAAGAGTGTCTCGAACTACGAGTTCAAAAAAGAAGGAAAGACACCGCGAACTCACACAGTCTCGAGTTACACGGCAACACTGACCTAGCGCAAGCCAAGCGACGGGCAGTGACACAAGGCGAAGATAAGGAAGCGGCCGGACTGCAGCAGCAGAACGGAAAACAAAAATCTACCGTCGGGAAACTCCGGAAGCAGCAAGCAACAAGCAGACAAGCAGCTGTGACGGAAGGGCCACGAAGGGCACCGAGGAACCGGCTAAGGACAGCCGAAAAAGCAGCAAAGGTGACAAAGCAGTCAACGCAAGCGAGGCAGCAGTAGCGGCGAAGCAGCGGAAGCAGCGGTAGCAGAGAAGCAGCGAGACAACGGACCAGCAAAGCGGCGAGGCAGCGGCAGCGGCGGCGCGAGGAAAGCTGAGTCAGCAACACCACGCAGATACGACTCTCGTAAGCGGAATCAGGTCAACTACTGTAAGTCAAATAAATTTTCTAAAAGCGAGCGAAAACATATGTTTGGTAACTGGCGTTTGCAACAACGCAGCGGGTGATACTCTATTGACCACAGTACGATTCGACACCGCTCGATTCGACAC